GGAATAATCTTATATTTCCTTGTCCATCTAGTATAGTTCTTAATGTTTCCGTGTCCTTTTAGTATTGTGGTTCTCTTACTTATTGTCCAAGCCTTGTAATCTATATAAACCCCTTTGTGGTTTCATAATAATACACACTACTATTCCTAAAACTCCTATATGGTGTCAGAGCCTCAAGCTTAACAGCCTTGATCCAGGAACCCTAAAACCTTTTTTTTTCCTTCACCACCGAGATGAGTCCTCACTCACCCGGTTAATTCCCTCCTCCCTTCCGCAGTCTTGTTCTTTATCTTGCTTTTTCTTTCCCGTAGCCATAATCCTAATAAGTTTGGTTTTCCTTTCTCAATAAAAAAAATCCTTATGCTAATTGTTTCTTGTCCTGCACCCCTAGTCATTATCCCTAATTGCTTGCTTCCCAGCTCCACGTCCCAAGCAGTAACAATTCTAGCTTCCAATTGCCACTCTCCCAAAAGCATCCGTTCATCATCATTATTTTGTGTTGCAGATTCTGATAGTTGTTTTGTGCTCTGTCGATTGACCACTCCTGCATTGTCATTGGAGAGGAAGATTCGGTTTTTATAGCCAACGTTATCGTTCTTATCTTATTTTCAAATTGTGGCAGAATTATATGGTGGAGCCACGACCATCCTCCAGCCATCTCTTCTTCACGTGTATGGAACGAAGAAAGCTTCTCCGACAACGGTCATTCGGATGAATGTCTCGTGTCCTACACCAGTTTACGTTTATTGGTATCGTTAAAACCAATTGATTATTGTTCATCTCGTTTCCGGTCAATTTTTTACGACGAGTGAGTTTCGTTGCAACGTATGAATTGCAAGTTTGATGATTTCTTATTCTCCAAGACGACGGTTAGTTGGCTTCGCTCTTCAAGCACGAGAGTTTGACGAGTTTGCAACACATTATACACCATCACATTGCGGGGGCGTGTTCTTCAAGATTTGCTTATTTTGGTCAAGATTGATGTTGTTCTTCACACCATCATCTTGCGGGGGCGTGTTAGATATAGATTAGGAATAATCTTTTTTTTCCTTGTCCTTATAGTATAGTTCTTAGTATTACCGTGTCCTTTTAGTATTGTGGTTCTCTTACTTATTGTCCAAGTCTTGTAATCTATATAAACCCCTTTGTGGTTCATAATAATATACACTACTATTCCTAAAACTCCTATATGGTATCAGAGCCTGGAGTAGATCCACCGCATCATGCGGCAAGGGGAAGCTTGCTCCTGGTCCAGCAGCGATGAAGTTGCGCTGGCGACAGACGGCGGGCGCCAAGATGATGACGATGAAAACAGGAAATCGGAGGAATGCGACGATTACGACATCGGCGGTGGCGGTCTGAAGGTGTTCGGGGTGCTTGAAGAAGAGGAGAGAGAGGAATGGCGACTAGCTGTGGAAAATAATAATTAAACGAGCTGTGATTTTCTTTTTTAAATTTTATGATAATTAGGTGAAAAATAAAAAAATAATTAATTTTATTATTTTTTAATTGCCACGTCACTCATTTAACGGTCAACTATAAGAGTTGACCGCCACATCAGCAAAAGTTAACGGAGTTAAACGGCCAGTGACCAAACATGAACTGTTAACCTAATTTAAGTGACTACGGATTGAATAAACTAATTTTAGTGGCAAACGTGACATTTTCAAGTAATTCTGGTGACCAAACTTGCAATTTAGCCAATAGCAAAATACTCTTCTTACCCTTAGTAATCACGGTGTTTAACACAGAGTAACAACCGTAACCCCTCCCATATAATTGAGACAAAAACCTTGTTTAAATCAATCCAAAACGTTTCTGAAAAAGGGGTGGTACTTGAAAGAGTTCAAGTTCATTCAATGAAAGGGGGCCGAAAATAAAAATAAGGTGAAAATTAAATGGTCCATAATGACAGGGGCTCTTATTAAGTATAATCAGGACGTACTATCTACATCAGATGTAACTTATAAGGAACTTTCACTAATATCATCATCTAATTCGTAATGTTGTTGCCTCATTTTTAACTTAATTGCAAGAACAAGTTCCAAAAGGACGGGATATTATGACCGAAATGGAAAGTGCTTTATTACTATATTATTCATCACCTAATCTATGACATTATTTCTTCTATATTAAATGGATGGGTTATATTCCTTATTCACTCAAAATAAAAATAAAAATTAGAAATCGTTATGTATCATAGCTTAGATTGATTCGATGACTTCTCGATTCAAATTCCATCCACTATTTTATCACATAACAAATTATTCACAGTTTCATCAACTACCATTCTATTAATAAAAATAAAATCCTGGATTTCAATGACTTTATTTCTTTTAAAATTGGACGAAATTTTATTTTTCTAAAATCTTACTAGACATATTTTCACTCATATTTTAGGAATAGTCGCTTATATTTCAAAATATTTGAAATAGTCAGGCCCAAGGTTGTCAACCCGTCCCTTTGACCCTGGTCCGGTGAGAAAAACGGGCTGCACGCACCCACCGAGTCGACCACTACAAGGTACCGAGTTGAAGGTCAAATTGTGTCATTTTTTTCTTTGGTTTGCGAACTTATTCAATACAACAATTCGCAGCTCTCAAACAAGGCCAGCGAATAACAGGAACCGCCATGGTCAACCTCAGACCACCACAGGAACTATCAAAGATGATGAAGAACAATTCAACAGCAAAATGAGGTAACAAAGTCGGGATACTGATACTGTCGGTATTTTAATTACCATACTCAAGAAGGAGTGTCGAGCTCGAATCCTCTTGGATTCCGTGAAGAGAGTCAAGAAGATGATCGACAGGAAGAAGAAATCTCTCGACGCTCACTTTCTCTTCCAAAGTCGGCGACATTGTCATGTCCGTGTTCGGTCGAAAGGTATATGACCTCCCGAAAAGGGAGACGTGTGACAACGTTTTCTCATCATCGTACGATGTAAATGTAAGGAAGTGGTTAAATATCATACATGTCTGTATAATCCAACATAACCTTTTTCCAATAACTTAAGTTATTGGGACCAACTAGTTTATGACAGTAAACGTTAATTGTTTGACGCGAATAAGTAAAAAACATGGCGCAGGTAGCGTGCAAGGGTAACTATACCGTTTAATGTGCAACACGACATTTACGATCTCCAACATCGTCGGACCCAAAGAGGAAATCACCATCGCTGGAAATCCCATCACCTTCCTCAGAGTCAATAACTCAGAGCCTTCCCCGTGTAATCATATGGATTTGGTATTTTGATCAATGCGTTTGAATTTTAACTTGGAACTTCAATGGATTTGCTCTGTTTCTTTTTACAGGCTCTGTCGATGCACATGGTGAGCTATGCAGGGCGAGCTGACATGCAGAGATCCTGATGGCCTAAGATGTCATTCCAGACCTAGAGTTTCTGGCCAAGTGCTTCGAAGATTCTTTGATGGAGATGAAGATTGCAGCCAGCCGACGGATTCAGGATACCGTAGAGCACTAGCCCAAATTAAAAAAGGGGTGGAAAGACTGGGCCGTAACCCATCAAACACTGAAACAAATATCTAAAATCGAAAATCTATAAAGACTATACTAGCTCCGGATTCAAGAAGGGTTGGGCTATGGCCGGGAGTGGCCCCTAGATCCGTCGCTGATTGCAGCTGAAAAGGCTGCTACTGTTGCTTCCTCTGACGGTTTATAATTACCTCTGAAGCTTGTTTAGCTCCACGAATAATGCTCTCTGACTCTGTCATTGAGAAGATTGGCAAAGACAATGTTTCCCAATGTGGAAAGAAAACAGAGCTCTAATTAATGAACGTATGATTGATGGAGGTACGCCTCTTAGATCAAGGGCAGTTTAGTAATTGGTTAGAGTTAAGTCGATTAGGGTTTCGAGTCAGAGTCTATATATTGTCGTGTAATCCCTTCATCAGGATAACCAATCAATAAATAAATTATCAACGTATCGTTAGATTATTCGAATCTCTTTTCCAATCCCTAATTCTGTTCTAATCCTTTCCAAATCTCTAAGTATCTTCTTCTCAATCCCGAATTCAATTATCTTTACCCATCATCCATTCATCAATGATCCATGGCGTTTATCTCACGTATCTGACTGATTTCCTTACCTCTTTTCATCTCCTGTGCTCCCTTTGGATGAGCAAGTCCACCAATTGGGAAGTAGAGAAGGAACATAAGCGGTTGTAATTGTACATTCTTGGATCTTCAAGTGAAGTTAAATGACAATCCAAGTCAACGTGTTTCGTCCGTGTTCCGTCCGTTCGTGAAAAAATAAAATGATTATTAGCAATATATAGAGGATAACGTGTAATATAAGAATGAGAATTAATAGATCATGAAAATGTCACAAGTTTGGCAACAAATTCATAGGAGGCAAGTTAAATAAAAAATAATATGAATCGCTATTCATCCCTCTAAAATTCAAATTTTGTCGTCCTAAAATGCACCTAATTGACCCTCTTACCCTCCAGCCTCAATTCCTAACCAAAACCTACGAACAGTCTCTTACTCTGCCAGCCGCCGTCGAGCTCCTCTGTCCTCCTTCAGCTGATGTCGCTGCCAGATTCCTCTCGCCAACAGCTGACAACCGGCGCTTTCCTACTGCTGCTGTCGGATTCTACTGCTTAAACATATGTACAAAATATAACGTGGCGTGCTGACTGGATTGAATTAACGGGTTTTTGAATGGAAATGGACGGAATGATCATTTTGTTATTCGTCCAGAGTTGTTTTATTTAAACATGCAAAATTAAACTTTCGTGACCGTTTTGTACTAAATGATAAATTGTGTGACCATTTATGATAATCACCTGAAAAACAATATGACTTTCTTTTATTATGCAAGTATCAATTTTGTCCACGTTTCCAATTGAAATTTTAATTTTTAATTAATTGACACGTCGATCACCTAATAGTCAAACATCATTATTGACGGTCACAAAAAAAAAACAAAGTTAAAGGAAATAAACAGTTTCATGACCAAACATGCAATGAATCATAGAATAATTCACTTTCCCTTTTTCCCCTTTCTTGTTCATTTCTTCCCCTCAAGTTTCCCAGAAGATCACTGTCAAAAAAAACAAAAAAAAAGTTTCCCAGAAGAAATTTTTATAATTTCTCTGGGGATAAGCGATTTCTACAGCCATATATATATATTACATATAATCATTCAATTTCAGAGAAAGAGAGCTCGATCGGTTCATTTTCCCCTCTGCCCAACAAAAAAAAAACCCCAGAGAAAATGAATCGCAAAACCGCCAGAAAACCTCTCCCTCCGGTATCGATCCCCTCGCCGCCGGCGACGGATGCCGACGAGCCCCTGACTCCCGCCGGCCGGATGTTCCTCCAGCCGGAGCTCGACACCGTAATCCACTGCGCTATCGGGGTACGAAACCCCCTCGACGTCGACGCCATCAAGGAAATCATCAAAAACTCGCTCCTATTGAAGCACCCGCGGTTCTCCAGCATCCTCGTGCGGGACGAGCACGGCCGCGAGCGGTGGCGGAGAACGAAGGTCGAAATCGACCGCCACGTCTTCGCCGTCGACGCGGCGGCGGGAGATGCCGACGACGGCGGCGGCGGGTGTCCGGAGAGGAAGGTGAACGACTACATCGCCGATTTATCGGCGGGCGAGCCGCTGAGATCCGACAAGCCGCTGTGGGAAATCCACCTGCTGACGGAGGAGCGGTGCGCCGTGCTCCGGATCCACCACGCGCTCGGCGACGGCATCTCGCTGATGTCGATGCTGCTCGCCGACTGCCGGAAGTCGGGGAATCCGGACGCGATCCCCAGTCTCCCGGCGTCGGAAGCTGGCCGCCGCCGGCGGCGGCGGTCGTGGGCTGCGGCGGCGGCGGAGTTGGTGATGATGGTGGTTTACAGTCTGGTGTACTGCTTGGAGTTCACGCTGAGGGTGCTCTGCGTCGGCGATCGGAGGACCGGGATCAGCGGCGGCGCCGGGACGGAGCTGTGGCCGAGGAAGTTGGCGACGGCGAAGTTCTTGATCGAGGACATGAAGACGGTGAAGTCAGCGGTGGCGAATGCGGTAAGTAAGCGAAACGAATTTTGAATTCCGTTTCCTCGTTTTCCGTGACTAGGATTAAAGATTAATTTTCTCGGTCGGCGTTTTGCGATGTCCCAAATTCTTGTTTGACTTTTCTCGTGGGATACTTTGTTGGATGCTGACTTCGTAGTAATCTAAAGAAATTTATCCTAACCCAACTTGCAATTAATTATACAAAAATACAGCTAGATTTTGGCTACATTTATTATACGATGATGATTTGAACACGTGATTTTGACGATTAAATTAATTCGGATACCATGTCATAAATCATTTGTTGGTTTTACGACGATGAATCGCAAACTATTAATGATGAGACAAAATTTAAAGTAAATGATTATTAGGCACGATATTTTTTTTTTAATAAGAAATGTGAACGGCAACTATTTAAGCATGTGACCAAACATATCATTTAGCCTTCCATTATATATATATATATATATATATATATATATATATATATATATATATATATATATATATATATATATATATATATATATATATATATGTGGTGGCTACTTCGGTGCACTCACTTTTTTGGGTGCATTGAATGCACTCAACTTTAAAGTTAGCTATCGACATCAAATTTTAAATTTTAACTGGTAGCATTAGTATAATACGATGATATAATAAATGATCACAACTAATCAATCAATTACCTTAACCCCTAATCCTTCAATTTTGAACACCAACCCAAAATCCCAAAATGTGAACCCTAACCCTAACCCTAAATCCCTAAATCTTAAATCCTTCAAATCAAAGTAAATATATAATGATTTCTTTTTTAAATTCATGGGGTTTCATGTCTATCATGTCACAAGTAATGATTGACATCGTTTTGACATGAATCGCCTATTCAAAATGGCGATTATGAGGCGGGTGCACTGAACGCACCCAAAAAAATGAGTGCACCGAAGACACCACCATATAATGAAAAACAAAAATTGATCGTTGAGATTGGCCGGAACTCATCTAAGTACATCTAACGGCTAGATCACCTGGCATATAGTATACGCCTGACGTACACCAGTCATCACTATATATATATATATATATATATATATATATATATATATATATATATATATATAGGTTATGTCTTCGGTGCACTCACTTTTTTGGGTGCATTCAATGCACCCGCCTCATAATCGTCATTCTGAGCAGGCGATTCATGTGAAAACAATGACAATCATCCCTTGTGGTACGATGAACAAGAACCACGTGAATTTGTACAAAAATCATTCAAGATTCTCTTTAATTTGAATGATTCAGGGTTGAGGAAATTAGAGTTAGGGTTAGGGTTTACAATTTGGGATTTTGGGTTTAGATTCAAAATTGAATGTTAATAGGTTAGGGTAATGAGTTGATTAGTTGTGATTCTGTGATATATCATCATATGAGACTAATGCTACCCATTAAATTTCAAAATTTAATGTATTATGACCACTTTTAGAGGTGGGTGCACTGAATGCACCCAAAAAAGTGAGTGCACCGAAGTAGCCACCTATATATATATATATATATATATATAATTTAGCCCATGTGTAAACAAAATCATTGAATAGACTCAAATAGAAATGGTTCAAATGGGCCAAAACCTTTCCAACAAAAAAGGGGTGGTAGAGTCCTTTGAATGAGCGGGCCCAAAAGGGAAATCAAGGGTAAATGGTCCACTGTACTGTGTCCTTGCCTGCAGCAACGAAGGAGATAAATGTAATAGAAATACATCTAAGACGTCTTAGCTCGTATTAACATTACATATATCATATACGAGTATTAAATGGAGTTTTAATAAAGATGTTGTAGGTAGGTAGGTTTGCATTCAATGTTACCTGATCATTGTGTCACATACTCAAAATATATGATAAGGTTGTATGAATCTCATCACATTTAATGTGACATGACTCTCGTATCAAGCATAATAGTTTTCTTAGAAGCATGTTATATTTCATCCTATAAAACTTAACGACATCCGAGTAGCTGCACATTGTTATTTTTCTTCCAAGTTAAGTATTATTGATTCACCTCAAAGTTTTGCATTACATGCAGACTATAAACGACGCTTTGTTCGGCGTGATAGCATCCGGGCTATCAAGATACTTGGACCATCGAACTCCAAATGGTAATATATAGAAACTAATTTCACACTCATCCATCGCCATTCAAGATTTATTACAGATCAGTTAATTAACAGCTTGATCAACACAAAAGTGCAGCTCTGAAGGAAGGCCAACAAATAACAGGGATGGCCATGGTTAACCTTAGACCACAATCTGGATTACAGGTAACCAAACTCTTTGTCAAATTTCCGAGTCCATCATGCTCCTTGCCTCATTATTAATCACTTAACATGGTGATCTGAAAAAACTGAGCAGGAATTATCAGACATGATGAAGAGCAATTCATCAGCAAAATGGGGTAACAGATTTGGGATACTGGTATTACCAGTATTTTACCACAGCCACCATAGCGAAGAAGGGTCGAGCTCGAATCCGCTGGATTTCGTGAAGAGAGCCAAGAAGATGATTGACAGGAAGAAGAAGTCTTTGGAAGCTCACTTCTCTTACAAGCTCTGCAACATTGTCATGTCCACATTAGGTCCTAAGGTTCGGCCCCCAGACGTATTCGACGTTGTTACTTCTTATATATACAGAACACAACACAATGTTGATTGCTTGACATGAATGAGTAAACCTTGTTCTTCAATCTATACACAGTTTGCATGCAAGTGTAACTACGATATAATCTGCAACACCTCGTTTACGATCTCCAATGTTCTTGGACCCAAGGAGGAAATCACCATTGCTGGGAATCCTGTCACCTTCCTAAGAGTCAATACTTCAAGCATTCCCCATGTAAGATCATATTAGATTAGATGTTAGTTATTAAGGTGTTTGATAAATTTAACATGCAACTTAGTTGATTCATTTCTGTTCTTTTTGACAGGCTTTGACAATGCACATGGTGAGCTATGCAGGGAGAGCTGACATGCAGATTTTGGTGGCCAAAGATGTTATTCCGGACCCGGAATTTCTGGCTAAGTGCTTCGAAGATTCTTTGATGGAGATGAAGACTGCGGCTGAAAAGGCTGCTGCTGCTTCTTCCTGACTTGCTCGTATCAACAAAATCTAGTTCAAACAGATTGATACATTACACAATACGATTTTGATTTTCAAATTCAAGACTCGATTTCTCGATTCGATCTGATCACTCGAATCGAAAAAACTACCAGATCAGATGCGATTGAAGGAGAAGCAAAGAACAGCACAGTACCTTTATCACAGAAGGTAGAAACAACAACAGCCTCAGACTCATATGTACATGTGGATATTTGGTTAGTGATCAAAGATGAAATGCAAATGAACTCCCTCTCTTTTCCTTTCTCTCCCTAATGAATGGCACTAAGCAACAAAGAACCAAATCCAAGCATGTTTTTTTGACTGAAGGACAACCAAACTCTAGCCATTTTTTTTACCTCATGCTTTCACCATGGGCTGGGACTTCTTGCTCACTCCTTTCTTCCTTCTCATCAGCAGCCTCCTCAGAAATTCAAACCCTGCACTTTTTTTACCTGGCACAATCGCCATTGCTGTACTTGTATCTGCAGTTTTACCACCATCACCTTCTGGAGTTCTGCCACCACCATAATCATTATGTTGGTTCGGAGATTCTATCAGTGCATCTTCTTCCTTTGGCGAGTAGAGAATGATCGCTTTAGATTTATCTTCAGCTAGCATTTGGTCACGCAATGAGAACCGACGGAACAAGTTCCTGTTGTTGTTGGTGGTGGTGGCGACAATGTTAGCGGCATTCCCAGCATTGAATACCTTGTCAAACAAGGCTGCTTCACTTGGTGAAGCCAGTGCCTTCAGTTGCTTTCCAAGGCTGAGAATGGTTTCTTGGCATTCGGCCAGCTTCACTGAGGCTGCTGATATCTCCAATTCCTGCAATACACTTTGCCGATCACCATTACAGCATATGGAGATAAAGACTTCGAAGAGGTAGGGTGACAATAGTAAACTTACATTTTGGGATGATTGCTTTCCTTCTCCATTCATGCCATTGTTTGTAGTCTCGATACACGTTACTCTGTAAGAAGAAGGAAAATGTTGCAGTGGTATCAGAATTATGTTTTCAGAATGTCAAAGATGAAACATAAAATTTGACTTTTTACCCTTCTAGTTGGAGTTGAAGATCAAGGCAAGTTGATTCTAGTTCTTCACAACAGTCATGCTTATCCTCCAGCTCGACTTCTAAGCATGAGTACTTTTGCATAACCTCATTCAGCTGGGCTTTGGCAACTGAGAGCTGAGTATCGAGTTCCTCATTGATCGATATCTGATTCTCCATCTGGTCTTCAACCATGTACTTGTACTCTCTCAAAGTCTCCATTTCTGCCTTTATGTTCCGAATATTCTGCTCTGATTCCTGTAGTTGACTCGTCAGAGACTCAGTCTTCTCACTCGCTGCCTTCAGCCTAGCTTCTGTCTCTTTCAACCTCTCATTCTCTCCAAACATGTTGTGATTGCTTAGAATAAACTCCAAAGCAGATGACAATTCCTCGGTAAACTTCTCAACACTAGTCTTTCCATCCATCAGACTGTTGCATGCATGAAGAAATTTTTGCATGACATCTGAAGGTTCTGCCACCACTAAGGAACTCGATTGTTCCTTCGAGTCTTGATCTTCAGGTTTGGATGTTAAAGCTACTGGAATTTTAAATCTCTCCACAAGGTCCACAATCTTGCACATTGACTTACTCAGACTCGGTTGACCACAATGAGTGCTTAGATGATTGTTGTAGCCCAATGCAATATTGATATCCTCGAGAAGCTCAGGCATAGAACGTTTCGAAACTCGATGTTGCTTGTTCAGTGCTTTCAGAACAACCTGAAGCCAGTCAAACTCTTGATCATCATCATCACCAGTTGTAGAGACTACGGCGAACTTCTCCATTTCGACAAAGTCGTCCATCAAACACATCTCCAAGCTCTCAATCGGTTTGTGGTCATTTCGAAGACTCTTGATCACCTTTCCATCTCTGAAGCTTTCGAGTTCCGAGAGTAGAGCAGTGGCCCATGAACCAGAAGACGAGCTAACTCCATCATCACTCCCAAATTCAGAACCAGGTATAGGGTAAATGTACTTAACAAGCTCCATCGACTTCACACCACCGCCAGGAAGTTCTGCAGCTAATTGAGCTTCAACCTGTGACAACCTTGAAGCTGTTCTAGAAAACATGATGCGCGAAGATTGAAGTTCAGCATTTTTCCTCATCAGTGTGTCCTTAAGACTCCTGTTCTCTTCCTCAGTAGCAACTAGTCTATCCAGCAGGAAATTTATATTCTTTTCAGGAATCTCATGACTAGGCTTTAAAGTGGCAGTAGCAGGAAATGGATCCCTTTTCTGAAGCCTCTGGCATTCTGCTTCCAACTTGGCAATTGTTTTGACACTCTCCAGATGCTGCCTCCTGGATGCATCAGCATGCTGTCGGCTGTACGCGAGTTCCTCGTTGCGAACATCAATCTCTTTCTCCAGCATGTGGAATTCATATTTGAGGAATGCATTCTCTTTCTCGGTCGAATCCAATCGGGACATGAGTGCATGAAACTCTGCTGATGTCTGAGATGTTTGCTTGTACAGATCATCAATTAGTTTTTCCTTCACCATTAAGGTCCTGCTCAAATTTGTGTTGTCAATAGCTAAATCCTTCAACTCATTTTCTAGCTCCTTAAATCCAGTTGATGATTTATCTCTGATGGATTCACTGTAAATCTTCACCTCTAGTTCTTCGGGGATAGAGCTCAACGGTCTGGTGAACTGCTTCAATGCAGGTTCATGATGGGCCACTTGTCTCTGCATGAATACATCTTCTTCTGCTTTCTCCAGCTCTAGAACAAGCATTAGAACAGACAGCAGAATGAATGTCTTAAACAATGATCAAGGGGTGAAAAGCCAAAAAAATGGAAACAAATGGATGGATTACGAATAATAATACCTGCAGAAGATACTTCATGTTCAGTTTTAGTGAGATGATCATCAAGAAGCACAGAAGCTAGCTTCTCATTTAAATTCCTAACGATTCTTGATGGTTCTGCTCCACTCTTGGCTGGGATATTTCTTGCCTAAAACAGGAAGAACCAAATGAGTCAAATTTACCATCTTCTTGAATGAGCTTATAGCTCCAAACCCTTTTGGGGTTTTTCACAAAGACTGTAACTTTTACCTCTTCATGATGAACTATGGGCACAGGGCTGCCAAAGTTGTTAGCAGTGACATTGATTGTTCTCTGTGGGAAACTTCTCTTCCTTGGCCACGGATTGTTGTCCATAACAATATCAGAGTTTCTGCAAACAGCAGAATCCAGTTGTTCAACACACAAACCAGAAGCTGTATATGAAAGCTCGCTTTAAAACAGCCCCAAAATGACACATGCAAGCCATTAATGTTTCACCGAAGATGACAGCAAAAAACCCAGAAGGGAAAATAAAGAGAGAAAGCTGCCTTTTAGAGGGCATTCATTGAAGTGAGAGAGTGCTACTGACCTGTTGAAATTCTGTGCTTATGTTACTGAAGCAGCAGCAGCAGAACTTAGGCAGCCATTTACAGTGTTTAGGAACCAGAAGGTGTTCTAATCTCTGTGGATGATAAAGCTAGAAATGTTGAGAATGGATTGGTCTGTTTGCTTTTGTTGCATAGGATGCTGCTGCTACTCTACTCTGCTTGGGTTATGAAGCTCCACCGACAACTATTAGACCGCAAAAGGAAACAAAAAGTCACCATTTCGCCATGTAATTATGAGAGCGAGAATGATGAGATAGGGAGTGATGGCCACTGCTACTGGTCCATCCTCGAAGGGTAAAAAGGACAGCAAGGAGAGGTGGAAAAGAAAGAAAGAAACGGGCTGGCTTTGCTTTTGGCTTAATTGGCTCCAAAATGCCATCAATGCCATCACTTTCTTCTTGGATTTCCATGGATTTTGCTGTGGCCGGGTGGCAAAACCTTTTTTGACATTACCCTCAACGTCTTCACCGTTAATCGCAGTAACTATTCCTTTTTCACCATGATTAAAGAAAGACACTCAGTCGTGGAGTGAGAGAGAGAGAGAGAGAGTCGTTGAGATGGAATTTGGAGGACAATGATTGTTGTCTCCTTGTACATAATGAAAGACCATTTCATATTTTCATAGAGTCATTTGCGACGAAATTTTTGGTTTTGTCTTTTGCTTTGGTTTTCTCATATCTGCTGCTCACGTGAACATAGGTTCAACTTTCAAGGAAGACAAATTACAGGGAACGTGTTTGTTTGTAACTTTGTATCCATCTTTTCGTGCTCTAGTTTAAGAATGCGGGCATCTAATGACTAAAATAACACACCTACCTCCCACGGCACGTAGGACTAAATAAAGGTGGCTGTCGGGTGTGTCCCGGTTTGGTTCGTATCGGACTGAACTGAGTCAAATCAATGTTTATCTCAATGAATTTCAGAAATACGGAATAAAAGTAAACCGAACTGATATTTAGAGCGAGCGAATATATTGGTCCTTAATTCTAATTCCTAAGATGTCTTAAACTGCAGTTCTCACGAGTTTAATCCCATCAAGACCAAACCGTACCATTGCACATCCGGAATATCGGATGGTTTGTAGTGATGGCAATTTCAACCCGCCCCGCGGGTATTACCCGACCTGACCCGCGATGGGGCGGGTATTACCCGACCCGCAGTAGCGTGGGGCGGGGCATGGGTATCTACTTCCGACCCGCCCTGCCCCGCCCCGCCCCGTGCTAGACTCATTTTATCTCAATTTTTTACAATTTCTATACATATATCTCCTATTTTGACTTTTCTTCAACTAGTTAGAGTCGCTCTATCAACTTGTTAGACTCAATTACCCATTCTATTATCACTATTTTTCATTCTTAAAGTGTTTTTCTCTTCATTTTATCGTAAAAAGTAAAATTTAATTGTATTTTTTTGGAATAACATGTAAGAGTGGGTCGACCCGCCCCGCCCCGTACCCGCGCGGGTTTTACCCGCCCCGCCCCGTAGTAGCGTGGGGCGGGGCATGGGAATTGAGGTACCCGCCCCGCCCCGCCCCATTGCCATCACTAATGGTTTGTTTGGTATAGCCCGGTGAAAAACTATTCAGTGTTTGCACAACCAAAAAGTACCGACGATCAGACCAGAAAATTAGCTATCGAAGAGAACCCGTATACAAGTTTATTAGTACGTACGATTGAACTACAATTGAACCACACCATTTTCATACCAAATTATCTATATTTATTTATGTATAATGTGCCAAAAGAAAAAATAAAAAAACAAGGGACTCCTTAAAAACTTACAAATTTCGTCACTTGGGTATAAACCACAACCCATAATCAGAGACAGAAACACTACTAAACACCACCTTCTACAAATCGTCTGAACAACTTTAGGTACACTAAAACTCTAGGACACCTGAATGAGTATAGACTTGGAAGCAAGCGGCATCGCTTAACCTTACAGTTTACACGGCTTGTCGATTAACATACCTTAATCTCAACCCTACTTCACCACCTTCTTCCCTCTCATTACCACCTCCTCCTAACAAGACATCAGGCCTCTGCTGCCCTTCCTGATTAGAAGAACCTGCACCGTCTTCGTTCTCGTCCTCCGAGGCTCCCACAGCATCCTCCCCGAAGTTGTGGAGCCTCCGACCGATGAGATACCGGTCGTCCCTAATCGAGTTGTGGAGGTTGGTGAACCAGACATGGAACCTCTTGGCACAGAAGCACAGCACGCTCAGGCACAGGCAGCCCAGCCAGGAGAATCTGTAGACAGCTGAGTTCACGACCAGAGGGTAGCCCAACACTGGGAATACCCCTCTGGCGAGGACGTAAGGCACGCACAGCGCAGTGAGCAGCTTCATCACTATTGGGAAGACGATCTCGCGGAGGACCCACAGGCCTTGCAGGCGCGAAAAGCCGTCTTCTCTCACCCTCTCGAATTTGATTCGCCAGCTCTCGTCGACGAGCGGCATCATGTGATCCAGCATGACCTGTTCGCACACAACACGGGAAAATGGGAATCGAGAAAGAGTCGGGTAAGTTGCTGTAAGTTTACAGAGAGAATGGTCAAAATGTGGAGTGTGGTAATGTTGGGTACCAGTCGAGTCCAGATCTTCAGGAAGATGAGTCCTAATGCCCAGTCTTGATACAAGAGGAAGACTGGACTTTCGTCGACAGGGACACGCATGGGGACAATAACGAGGAGCTCGAAAAGCAGCCCGATCATCACTGGAATGATAAATATCTGAAAACAGAAATGATTGTTAATAAGAGAGATCTTTCATGGAATTTCAACAGGCATGCACGTAGAAACACAGATTTAGATTTTAAAATCCTGTGATTTAAAGATTTCAGAAGAACAAACCTTGTCGGAACTAAACATAAAGGCAACGGTTTATAAAATCTTATGATACAAGTTATGAGTGTACTTGTAAAATGAAATTTACCCATATCGATAGTAGCGCGGAGCTCTTGAGGACAATGCCGCACCACTTCCGAACTTGGTTAAACAAAACTGCTGCCCTCTTTGTTCTAACATGCTCCAAACAATATCTAACTCCAGCCAGAGCGGTCCAGATGGCATAGCTTCCAATTACGAAAGCATATAGATCTACAGAGGCGACAATGATAAGATTAGAATGATTAATGTGTCAATTCTGGAGAAGCAGCAGAAGCACAAAAAAAGTATTCAATCTAGAGATATACCATTGCACTTGATACCATGTGTTGTCGGGAGAAGAGGAATGGCATTGAAAAGGGCTCGACCCAGTGCCACAGGTACAACAATCACCGCAGAGTTGAAGAGCAGAAGTGTCATCCATGCCACCACCAACAAGAGCACAATCGAGCCAACAAAGCCATACCGGCTGAAATATCAAGGAAGCGAATAATAATTATATTATAGGTTAGACGCCAAGTCAAAAACAGAACACAACACCATTGTTTTCAGTTAATTTCCCGTGGACTAGACCCTCTTTCAGAAAGGAATGACAACAAGAGTACATGTGAGAAGTTCATTGCAACAGTAACTATGCAGAGTGGAAGAGAAAGTAATCACACAGAGTATCGAAATCAAGGAACAGGTTATTTTGTGTAGATTTCATGAAGAATTACAGGAGTCACAGTGATCCCATAGACCTGAAGTTTGATAAATTTAGAGACTAGTTATTATGTAAGTAAGGAGCCATCGAGGAAACAAAGGAGAAAGAAAAGGGTTCCTTTCACCAGTTGGGGAAACAAGGAAACAGAAAACTCTCATATCAAGTAGGACCTTGAAGGTTAATTGTGATGTCAACAAATATGAACTCATGAGCAGCAAAAGGCAGTTAAGTAAGACAAACTAAAACAACATGCGTACCCAGAATCAGAATGGTCTTCACTATCATCTTCATCAACAGTATTTAAATTCCCTGCACCCGGAATCCCTCTGTTGGGATGATCATCAACACCAGGAACTGCCAGAGCACGATCCTGACCACCAGCCTGTAATTGATCCTGCCTTCCAGGTTCTGCATTTCCTTGCCCACCATTCTCATCAGGTCTAGGCAATAAATAATCAGTTAAGCCAAGCGCCCAACCAACTGCTGTAAACCAATAGCAAAGCAGAGACTTGATTGTCGTCCGCAGCTTGAAATGCTCAACGGCAAAAGGAATGCAGATTTGGAATAGAAGCATGTCAGCTGGAATTTCTGTGAACGGATCAGAAACCCTGGGGGGGAAATGCAGAGCAATCATATATTAGCAATCAAGAAGACGAGTAAAAGGAAGAAATGAAGAAATTAACTATGCTTGCACTGGAGTAATCTTACGAGATGTCTAGAGGAAAGATGGATGGTGCCATTCGCATGGCAAGTTTGACAGGCAAAAATACCAGCATCACAATCAAACTTCCATACACGGCAACAGACAAGAGTACCCTGCGTCCATGCTTGTGCACAGGATCATCAATTAAATCACGAAACGGATTGTAGTTTGGATCAGCAGGATCTCTGAGGAAATAGAGCACTCCATGGCGTAAAACCTGAAAAGGACAACATGAAAAGTACTCGATGTTATTATGTTTCAAATATTCTCATCTAAATATGTGAAAGCTCTCAGCCAGTGCTGAGATGCAAGTTGACAAACTGCAGGCATCACACCTAGCACTTCTGTGGATTTATGTTTTGTTTTGGTTTCAATGATATGCATATCAACTTCATCAAGCAAATATGTGAAGAAATGATGGTTGGTCCATTACCCCTCGAAGAAGGCTGACAAAGATGCTTATTTGGAGCATGTATACAATTCCCACAACCCAGTGAACCAAAGAGCTAGCCAAAGGAGAGGCTGAGAAGAATTGGATTCTGTCAGACATTGACTTGCCAAACATCCTTAGAGTACATATATCGAGCCACCATCCACACATCAGAGGGAACACCCCGAGCTCAATTACCAGAAGGAAGGCAACTTTAATCATAGTCATCAAATGTTTCATTGCTGCCAAGAACTGCCTGAAGAGCGACGGGATTGTTTCTGCTATAGATGCAATACCATAGAACCTTCCCAAGGTCAAGGGCTCACCCTTAGTGTACCGAATCAAAGCAACAACACCGAGGTAAAGAAAAACTAGGAAGAAAATTAGCATATAGCCAACTGCAAGAGTTGTCACATCTGAAAGCCTTGATGTGCTGATACCGGCCCCTTTCAATAGATCAGCAGAGACTGAAGAACTAATGTTGCTTGCAGCCTCATTTGCTGCACTAGCATTTACTTCCAATGCGTGAACCACAGGGTCCAAAATGCCACCATCTTGGGCCTCAGATGTCAAATTTGTCACAGCTGTCAATGCATTTTTCAGAGTGATATTTGCTAAGGAGAGGTCAGACTCTGTTAGCGGCAAAATGAATGACAGAACAGGACCACTTGCAGAAGAGAATAGCCAAGATATGTAGTGGAGAATAACCCGTCCTAATGAAAAAGGCACAAAGATTACAACTCCAAGGAATATCATGTTGCTCGCAAGAACCTGCAGGCGGGGATAACAAACACTTCATGACAATGAACTCAATTCTGAACTCTGAGCTAAATTCAGTAAATGGAAACTAAGGAGGAGACAAATGGATCATAACTTAAAAGCTCTATCTAAATATAATGCAAATAAAACCTAATCAGATGATAAGGCGAAAGGGAACAACTCATATAGGACAATCTGATAGTAAGACGAGAAGAAATTACAAGACTTACAGTGAATGCATTTTCAACCAAATGGAAAACAGGACCCTGCATGCCCACTAGTTCATCAAAAGGCACATCCTCAGCACCATCAGCATCTTCTAAACCATCAAACATTTGTTCAACGTGAGCTTCAAGACGAGCTGCCTGCATTTCCCACCGGGCAGCAACATTTTCTGCATTCCTTCTGATGATTTGACCAGCACCAGCAATTCCTTGCGCTCCTCCAACATCCTCAACATTAGGCTCAGCAGCAAAATTTCTATTTCCCTGCACCAGAGGCCTCCTTGGTACACGGGCGCCATTTCTATCTGCCTCTTCTTCTCTGTCAACTTCTTGTCCACCGATCTCTCTTAAATGGCGAAAGTAATCTCTTAGAGAGGTGGCTCCAAGAAAAATGAAAACGATGCTGGCAGAGAGAAGGAACCCATGCAGGCAATCAGTAAGAATAACTGTAGTTGAGATATGACTCAAGAAGAGCCTCTGGGCTTCACCAAAACTTCTCAAGAAGGCCAAGCGCCATATCCAAAATGTTATGAAAGGTATGATCAGAAGCCAGACAGAGAGGACAAAACTAAGGCGCAAAAAGAATTGCATCACGTGGCAAGCCTTCATCGCCATTCCCATTATGAATTCCCGAAAAGGAAGTCTTGCAGGAGCATTTTCAGCATACACGGGAGAGAAAGAAAATGGATGTTTACAGACCTGCATGTCATAGAAGGTGAATTATTCAGAAAAAGAGGTGGGCAAGATATGGTTATGAAATATCACTAAATGACTAGCCAGTAAGTTTATGGAAAACAAGTCAGAATGAGTGAAAACACAGAGGCCAAACTTATAAACAAACGAATAACTCATGACTGCCCATCTGACATGCAATTGTTAAACGAAAAAAGGTCATCAAAAGATTCCTTAATAGAAGTTAAAGTTTTTTTTATGAAAATTAGCATTCATTAGAAATTATTATTAGGATAAAAACAATTTTCTTGCACATCAAGTTTGTAACTCATATCTAAGGAGCTTAGAATTCACAGACATGAAAAGAGAGACTTATTTGAGTACTCCAACTAGTTTCTTTGAGTAGATTCTCAAGCAAAGTCACCTGTTTCCTGACTGGAGAAGCAGCCCCTCAACACTACTGTTTCTATTGTTATCTAGAACTACGAGCAAGCTTCTCTCAGAAGAACACTATCCCTCCCACGACCTCGTTTCCCGAAAAAGCCTAGGCACATCACCTCCTCTTCAAAACCCATAGTTGCTAACCCAACATGCCTAACAGTAAGGGTTGCAAGTTTGAGTTTCATGAGTAATCATGCATTTCAACCAGTTCACGGCAAATCACGCTACATCTGCTTCCTTACAAAATGTAGCCCTAGACAATACAAGTACATCTTTTTTCCAGTTCCCTTCAGTATGCCAATATCCAAACAATCAACATCAAAGCTCAAACTAGCTCAAAGCCAATAATATCTCAGTAAACATCCCCAACCTAACTTCCCCCCGGTTTAACTAGTTTATCCAAACATACAACCTTAGTCAGCGAATCAGGATGAATATCCTTGGATTGCATCAGCTTCAGCCTACTTTTGACAGTTCAATTAGAAGATGACCAGATATTCCAGTCGCATTCTTTCTCTACCCCTTTTTTTCTCAAGACCGAGCAAATCCATACATACCTCGCATTGACGAGCGTTGCTGTGATTAAGCCACTGGAGCAGGCAATCCTGATGAACGAACTTGATACTCCCACTACAAGCACACGGGTACCTCAACGGATTCTCCGCGTCGCCGGGGTTCCGGCAGATCCTACACACATCCTCCTCGTCCTCGTCGTCATCGTACCTCGCGGCAGCCGCCGCCACCACCGACATAGATGGCGGCGACGAGGACGCACCGTCCTTCTCAATCAAATCAGGATTTCCGGATGAAGATGAGGCCGTGGTAGAAGACGAATCGGACGGTCCCGCCTCGTTCTTGACATCGCGGCCGTCCGACGGCACCGCCGCGGAGGCGATCTCCATGGAAGGAAGGGGGAGAGAAGGGGTTTCTCTCGGCGAAAGCACAGGCGAGCCCTCGACGCGGATTGACTCGGCGAGTTCAACGGAGATCCCCGAGTTTCTGAATGGAAAACAAAATAGCGATTAATATTTCGATTTTAAAGTGTTTTCCTCGTTTCTGGATTCTTTTTTTCGGTGGCTTCGAAGAAGAAGGAAAAGATGACGGATAGGGGACGGAAGGCGGAAGGAAGATGACGGGGAAGTGACGGCCGTGGCATCAGCTGCACCACTCCGATCCAGCGGAGCTTTAAATTGGGCTGGGTGGGCCTGCTTTTTTCCAGAAAGAGAAATGATGTGGGCCGCCTTGTTTTGTCGGCTATTTTTCAGAAAGGGAAACCACGTGGCAGCTTGCGATTGGCTGCTCAGTAGATATTAATTTGCTTCATGGACGTATTTTCAACTAATACATTTTAAATATTATAAAAAAAAAATCTAAAAGTTACGCCACAAAACAAGATTTTTTCAAGCAAATGCATAACACACATAGAGCAAGCCAGAACGCGAAAGCATCAACGATTGAAGACAAGTCATCAATCAAGCCTGTAGTTCACAGCTCCAGCAAAAGAAATCTCGAGAAAAAATAAAAGCTAAAAACCGAAAGGAACATCAGTCTCCTAGAGAACCCTAAACCCCAAAAACAAAAACCCAGTCTACCAATGTATCAGAACACAACTCTGTCTAATCCCAAACGCCCATGCACACTACATCAAACCACACTCCAACCAACCGCACAGTAGCTTCAAGAGACGAGGCTCTCGTTCAAAGACAGCGACGAAAGCTGATCAGCTGTACCACCAGCTGCCTGATGCTGCTGAACGCTCCTCAACACGTCCATGGCCTCGGCAACCTTTGCCTTCAATGCCTCTGGTGACTCCAGCAAGTGCAGAACCTCGGTCTGGTCCATCTCGAGAAGCATCCCTGTCACCTTAGCAGCAGCATCCGGCTCCAGTTGTTCCACCAGAGGGTACAGATTCTCACCCAGCATCTGCAAGTAGTTGTATGATCAACATTTAACACCCGAGTTTTGACGAGGTAAACCAGATGAAATTGAGGTTGTGTGCAGTGTAATGTGCTTACCGTCCTCTGCTGATCTGGAGTAGCATTAGCAAGTGCAGTGGCCAGAGCCCCTATGGGGATTGGCTGAGACAGTCCTGCATCGCCACGCATAGGCATGGAACCAGCCATGTCGTATGGAACAGAGAGCATGCCTCCAGGCCCAGCAACACCAGTCATGGGGCCATCGGGCATGCCACGCCCTGGAGGATAGCGGTAGACACGGCCGCCCCTTGGAAGCATCTATCACGAATGAAATCAATTCAGTGAATGCAAAAGAAAGTCCACGCTGTTCCATTAAATTGAAACACACGGCAAACACAAACCTGCTGCTGCATGAGTTGAACCGGTTGCTGGGATTGCTGACCAGCACCTCCCCTTCTACCGCCAGGTCGCTGACCCTGCTGACCGGGTGGACCCATTGGGACAAAGTAGTTTTGCATAGGTGCCCCTCCAGGACGCATACCAGGCACAAGCTGCTGCTGATACCCAAATCCAGGCTGACACGAGGACCGAAACAAAATTCAAAAGTAAGAGGAGGTAGTTACAAAAACAAAAACATAACACTAACTGAATTCATATCAAGAAAGGGGAGATGTATAAGCATGTTACCTGAGAAGGTATAATAGCAGGAGGAGCTTGGCCATAGAATATCTGCTGTCCCATTCCAGGTGCCCCAGGAGGATACATTGGCATGCGAGGTGCAACAGAAGGTGGCATTGCCATAGGTCGCATTTGAGAAAATTGAGCCTGTGCAGAAAAATACATAAAGCCATATACTCTCAGCAGAAACTTGAAAGACACAGATGAAAAAAAATACAACACAAAGTTGCAAACTTCGCTCCAAGAATATCAAAACATCACTGCACCTGCAGTCTGGCTCTTCTATCTTCCTTCCTTTGTGCAAGTGCAACATACAATGGTTTGCTGACAATGATCTTTCCGTTCATCTCCGAAAGCTATCAACAGGAATAAATGAATTAGATTTGCATCAAGAGTTTAAATGCAGAAGAACCAGCATCAGACTTACAGCTCTATTAGCTTCCTCAGGAGTAGAGAACGCGACGAACCCTGAGCCTCTACTAACGCCACTAGGATCTCGCATGACCTGTTCAGAAGATTGCCAAAAAAAAGGGTAATTGTTGAAAATCGAACAAGAAGTCATAAAGATAAGCAGGATCCCAAACTTTTACCTTGCATGATGTGATTGTACCAAATGGGGCGAATAATTCCTTCAGCTTTTCATCAGCTATGCTATCATCTAGGTTTTTAATATACAAGTTAGCTCCTTGGAACTTATCAGCAGCCTCTTTCATTGTCTGCTCAAACTTTTGTTTCAGTTCAACTTCCCTCTCAGATTTCTTTTGGGCTTTTCCAACATACCACTCTTTGTCATCAAATTTCTTTCCATTAAGAGCATCAACAGCTCTAGCTGCATCTTCACAACTCTCAAAGTTGACGAAACCAAAGCATTTGGATTTTCCTTCTGCATCTCTCATAATCACAGCACTGGTGATTGGTCCATATTCAGCAAAGGCATTCTTCAAATCATCATCAGTGGTGTTGTCACCAAGATTCTTCACATACACATTATTGAATTTGCCCCTGTCATTTGAGGAGTCCCTTTCCTGCTTACGTAGGAAAGGACCTACATAAACTTGCTTGTCATTTAGCAGCATTCCATTCAATTTCTCTATGGCCTTCTGTGCAGCTTCCTCACTATCAAACTGGACGAACCCATAACCTTTTGACTGTCCAGAAGAGTCAGTGGCTACCTTGCAGGAGAGAATGTTCCCAAAGGAAGAGAAGGTATCATGCAGTGCTTTGTGGTCGATGCCCTTGTCCAAATTCTGTCAAGTGCAAGTGTTGTAGCGTCACATTAAAGAAATAGCGCAATAAAAACGATGTTCATGGGGCCAAGAAAAAATACGAAGCTTCCTTTCTGATTATATCTACCTTGATAAAAATGTTTCCAGCACCACTTTTGCGAATGCTAGGGTCACGGTGAGAATACATGATTCTAACAGGTTTCCCGTTAATTGGAGTGAAATTGAGGATATCCAATGCCCTGGCAGCTGCATTCAAGAAGTGAAGAGTGAGAAAACAAAATGTATGTTATACTTCAAGTACAACAATGAATAAACGAGATACCAAATTGCTAAATCCAATGTACCACATGAAATACAATCTGGATGATGCATCATGCATATCGGAAATCCAATTTTCTATCTACGAATCACACCACGCATGAAAAACTTCATGTCACTTTTGGCAAATCAGGTTTCAAAAGTTGTAGTAGTGGGATGGAAGCACAAAGAGGCGTGTGCAACATAGTATCTAACCATAGTGCATATATTTTGACCAAACCTTCCATTGGAAACACCAAACTTGCTTAAACATTTGGAAAGTTTGACGATACCACATAATTTTTTTGTTGGGAATACAATTTAATACCATAAAAGACCAGTGCATTTATAATGGCTCTAATTTAAAGGCCGCAATACCATTTCTAAGAGTGAATGCTAACAAAAACCCTACATGATGCTATCAAGGATTCAAGGAGTGACATCCACAACAAGGCCATTTGAAAAGGGCACAATGCAATGTAAAACCACGATTGCCAGGAAAAAAAACCTAAGTGCTGCTATCACATAATGGCTTTAAGAACAAGGGCAATTGAAAACTAGTTTCAATCAAAAATTCACTACCAAGCAGAGCCACGGATCATCCTACAAGGCAGGTAAATAGGCCATGTACTTAAAGGAAACCTAAACAAGGGGTTTATAAGCTGATTCATCAGCTATTGGTTAAACATTAGGCTAGTTAGAAACAACATCGAAAAACAAGTTTGTTCTCAATAAAAATTCATAACATAAAAGACCATTGAATCAATAATGGCTCCTAATACTAAAATTATATATATCATTAACAGGTCACAAAGCCACCATGAGTGGAAGCACTAAAACCTACATGCTGCTGTCGGCCAGTAACATCCTCAACAAGGCCATTCGAAAAACTACTCTCGTTGAAGAAAAAATCACCAACCAGCAGGAACTGTAATTACAAGATAACTAATAATGGATTCATCATCTACTCGCTATTGAGAATCAAGTTCTGCCGGAAATAACAATTCATTCAAACCATAAAGACCCCAAACAGCAGCTTCATAGTAAACCTAAACAACGGATTCAGTAGCATCTCGTTCATAGAGAAATGAACGAAACACCATAATTGACACCACAACATCAGGTAAACGATCACAACGATAAACATGATTATTCAAACGGCTTATCCAAAACCCTAATATAACTAATCGAAACCCCAATTGCGATTGTTCTTGCATAGCAACCAGAAAGAGAACAATCATTTCCCCGACTGAGTAAAGACGTGTCAAATAAAATAGACAATGACAACAAAATGAACAGAGGACTGACTTCCTCACTTCCGTACAGCAAGACGAGTCCCTCTCCATTCACCATTCATCCAACAACACTCTTTCAGAAGTCAATAACTCCAATAAAAAAATCGGTAAAGACACAGAGCTATCAGAAATTACTAACCATCGGGGGCGTTGGTGAAGTTGATGTAGCCATAGCCCAGCGACTTGCGAGTGGTCAAGTCCCTGCAAACACGAATCGACACAACCTGGCCGACCTGGTTAAACAGATCGAAAAGCTGCGCCTCGGTGACGTTGAAGTCCAGATCGCCGACGTAGAGCGAAGTGGTGGTGAAATGCGGGTTGTTGTTCGCCCCGCCGTTCACACCTTGCGCTTGAACCGGTACCTGAGCCATTACTCTCTTCGAACTTCCTCCAAGAAAAGAAAAAACGAACCAAACTCTTGCAGTCCAAAAATAAACAACCCAGTACAAATTTACCACCCCTTCTTTCTCTCGGCTCCTTTTTTTTGGGATTTTTTCAACCAAATCTTCCCTCTCCTCTCTTTATTTACGACGACTGCAACTGAAACCCTAAAACTCTTTCTAACCCGATAGATACGCACACCAACTGTTCGACAAAAGGACCCAGAAGACAACCGAAACAAAAAAAAACAACAATTCAGTTTCTGAATGAACTCTTTTTTTTTTTTAGTTTGTTTTGGATAGGGGGAGGAGGAGAGGGAAGGCGGTGGAGGGAACGGAGATGGTGGGTAGAGCCGC